CTGGGCTGCAGAGAACAGGTGCACTGCTGGCCCCACAGGAGATCCACCCCCTGCCTCGTGCAGAGCTCAGGCCTGGCTGCAAGAAAGGCCGCTCTGCAGCCAACGATAGGACATAATAACAAGCACTTGTTTTCTGCCCTTAAAACAGGATGCTCTCCATACGTATGGCAGCAGGTGATCTCACTTAGGAGCTCTTTTCTCCAAGGACGGGCTGTTCTCGTGGTCCTGGTGCAGCTGGGCTCCCTGCTTGGCAGGGTCATCCTGCAACAGCACTGGGAGCTCTGATCTGCCCAAATATGCTCGACTATGTTTACACGGAGGGTGACTGGAAATAAATGTTTTTCTAGTTCCCGTTGGTTACTGTTTCAAAATATTACTAGATTTTTATTTTTTAAACTGTGGAAATAAATACCCCAAATATTTGAGTGTGTATAGATACACGTACCCACACATATAAACAAGCATATGCACACTGAGCACCAGCTGCGTGCTGCAAAATATACCAAAAAATAACGTGCTTCTTATGAACCTAATAGATACTTCTGTTTTAAATTCCTCCTAAGACTGAAAAAAACAACCCAATTTCATACAGACTGCAGCATGGGAGAACATTCCTTTATACCCAGAGGTCAAAGCTCATTAATCAACTGCTGTTATTTCCCTCTGCAGGAGCAGATAAACCGCAAGTGTTAGGGTACAAATCAGAAAATGAGGGCAGTACCAGGTTGCCAGTTTGAATAGTTATGACATTCCAAAATGTGTTGCACTGTTAAATGGGAAATAAGGGACACCACAGATGCTTCTAATAATTCCAGTTTCAAGTCAGTTTTCCCTCCTTTGTCTTAAAAAGCTTTTGATGTGTAGTCACAATATTGTCTCTCTCTCTGTTTTTAATAATTTTATATTACCTCAGCAATATAACTGTCCTGAAATATACTGAACTTTAATCTCTGAGAGATCAAACAGGAAGAAATACGACGGGATAGAGAGTGACTGAGTTGGGGGCAATATTCTCTCCCCCTATAAAAGAAAGCCCACAGCTAGATAAAAATTGCTTCTCGGATTCCACAAACGTCACATCTTTAAGAGAGGATTTCAGGCCCACAGAGAGAGCAGACTTGGGGCGACAGAAAAAAAAAACAACACAGAGCCATTGAAGATGCAGCCAAAAGCAAGCATGCTCTCCCGGAACTTGAGGATGTGGTTTGTGTGACTACATGCTGTAAGATTGGTCCCAGCACCCTCAGACCTCCTCCATTTAGCACTACAACAGCCGAGAATCATTTGGCTACTACCCTTTCACTGGAATAAACGTGCTGGCTCTGTCTCAAGCAAAAGAAATATCTGGGACAAAGGTATGAGTTTACATACCACAAAGACATTGTGATGTCTGGGGGGGGGGGCAAGAAGGGGGAGGCGAATTTAAGCCAGTATCAGCACACAGATCTGATGGGGCACAAAGGAGGTGCTCCAAGGAGTCACTTCAGAACACAGCCAGTTCCCCTCCAAAAGGCTTTTGTTCTCCATGAGCTGAGCTTCCAGCAGACAGAAGCCCAGCTTCCCTGATTTTCCACTGAGGTTCTCCAGAGGAACCAGAGGCGGTGAAATGCAGCTCTGCATGTCTGCTCACTCTATTCCCTGACCACAGAATGATGAATTCCTATTCTAAAGAAATACTGGTTAAAATATATTGTGACATACAGTGAAGATGGTGGGGTTTTTTTCCTGGCAAATAATAACAGTGCTGCAATAAACAGTGTACTAAAAAGACTCTTTTTGGTTTATCGTTAGCACCTTGGAACTAAAGCCAATTTAATCTCTTTTGAATAAATATGTGAATGTCTCTTTTGGCTGCCTTGGGAACCTGCTTTATAACAATCTGTACATATGCATCAAAACTGTTTATGAACTTTCCCAAATGTACAGCTTGAAGCTTCAGGCTTTTATCGAGTTCATTAAAATCCCTAAAGACTCCAGAAGCTAAAAACACTGATTCAGACACTGCTAAAATCAGTGCAAAGACTCCAATGGATGCTTCCACAAGGAGCATTGAGAAGCTTGTTTTCTGCAAGTGATATTACCACCACGTGTAAGTGGCTCTTGCTCATCACCTGCAGCTCTGCAACGTTCATTAATTTCTAATTAATACATATAATTTGCAAGCAGTTGTTGTACTCTCTTTTTGCATGCGGGTCATAAAGTCCCAGCTACCTTAGTGCTATGCACTGATTGTAAGGGCATACTGAAAAGAGATCCTGCCAACGAGCCAAATCCCTTCTGATAAATACACTAACTGGAGCCAATAGATATGGAAGGCACTCCTTTCATAGAAATGGTCCATAGGGAGCAGCATGTGTTTGTACTTCAGATAGTTTTCGTACTGCCTGCCATACTGTCAGGAGTGTTTTGAGTTAGGTGGACATTTTAAAGTTCTTCTGGTGAACGTAGGTTACAGAACAATATTGGAACAATAAGCAAATGTAATAGAGTATTTCCAAGCCTGAAACTTTCTTGGATATCCTTATTCATGCAAAGCAAGTAATAGATTCCTTTTTGACAATTTCTCATGCTCTGGATAAACATGTACTGGTATTTCTGAGTTTCCCAGCTCAAATTTCCACACAAGTACTTCTCTGCCTTACCTTCTGCTTTCAATCCAGATGATGCAGAAACCCTCTATAATAGCTCCTTTGTGGGAACAAAGGATACAAATCTTCATTTCAGCCTCCACATTTTGGTCTTTAAATCAGAAAATATTTATTCTCTTTTAATGAAATATAAGCTAACCCGGAGAGGATGAGATTCTCCAGATTGAAGGCTTACTGATCAGTGTTTATTCAGAGTTTTACTTCCAAACCTCTAGAGCTCTCAATCCATTATTACATTTCCAAGTCTTGGCTGTCCTATTGCTTTGAAGGAAGAAGGTAAGATGATTCCAGCATTTAGCAACAGCAATCTGGAAAATTTCCTCTTCCTTCTTTTGCCATTAAAATAGCTTTCATCTGTAGGTCTGCATTCCCACCTGAGGAGCAGTTTCTTAATTTCTGGCAGGATCTCTTCTTTACATTATCTAATCGGTTTCTAGAAGATGGTTTTCTTTTTCTCTCTTTCTCTGTGATGAATTCCTGCCTCTCTGCTCTAGCATTTGTTCCCTTAGCAGCATTTGTGAGCCAAGACCGTGATTTCAGCCTCAGTCAACAAACTTCAACCACTGAGAGAGAGAGGAGGGCAGGAAGAGGTCTTCATAAGAGGTTTCAGGTGCATTGTGCAGTGCTGGCTTCCACCTCCTAACCGTGAGTCTAAAAGTATTTTAACCTTAAGGATACAGCTTGCTTTGAAACAAAGGGGAACAAAGCTGAACTGAACTGTGAGTGAGCTTTTGTGTTTGAACATAAAACCACAAGGTGTGTCAGGGACTATTCCCACTGCTGCTCCACTAAGCATTAGGTTACTGCTTTCCTACTCAGGTGATTAAAGTTAAGTATGCAAATTCACAGCTGTGCCCACATAGATAAGACGCAGTCCTGTGGGAGCTAAGCATGCACAGCACTGATGTAAGCGTGGTTTGGCTTCAGCGTGCCTCGTCCTGGTCTTTGGCATCACATCCAGCATGTTCAAATTTGTCCCAGTGGGTCAGATAAGCCTTGCTGTTCCATCCAGCAGAGGCCAGCTGCTCAGGTGCCTATGAGCTGGTTCTGCTGCTGCCTCTTCCAGCCTGCGAAGGTTCAAAGAAGGCCTCCTGGAGATACTTTCATTTTCTTCATGTATTTATTGACAGCAAATAACTTGGTATCATTGACCGTGATCTATCAAGATCCTTTTCAGCAGTGTTTTTCCACATACATCATGTCATCCATGATGCAAAGATTCTTTCTTCTCCACTGACTTCATTTTCAGCATGTACTTTACCAAAACTTTTGCATAACCACATAACCTGAGGACCACAAACCTGGCTGGCTGCACAGAGTTTCTTCTTTTTCTCAAGCATGATACGTACAAAGTGGCAGGCTAACTTTTGAGTTGGAAACTTCAGTCCTTACAGGGATAGGCTAAGGAAGCTCATCATAAAACACAGGCGAAAGAAATCATTTTTCTTTCCCAGTGTACTTCATGTTAGGATGCAAAATAATTGTTTGCGCTGATACATCCACTTGAAAGAGTATGCAGCAGGAACACAGAAAAAATGCTTCAAGAGTGACAATACAGTACTGTTCACTGAACAAGACTCGAGTGAGTGCCACAGAGCTGTGGATATGAGTGAGAAGGAGCAATTCTCCAGCCACTGCTCACTTAAGAGCTAATGGGTTCGAGAAAAAAACACCTCATCAGTTCCTGTAAAACACTTCTGTTCAAAAGTAAGTTTTTAGCATTTGGGAGTCTGGTAACCTGACACAGACACAGAAGTTAATAAGATGTAATTATTGTCTGAATCTTCAGTCAAAATTAAATTTTACCTAACACGTAACATGTTTTCATTACTGATACAGATCTAAATTTGAACCACATGGAAGCTGACATCTCAGATTCATGAAGTATTCAGAAGTCAGAAAAAGTCCTTGCTGTATAATTACTGATCTTAACCTGCAAGTACAGCTTTGTGCCTGTGCAACAGAGGCAGCCTGGCAGCTCCGGATCCAGCTGCAATGCAGTGCAGCAGGCGAGCTCACACCATGCAGCAGGACATACAGCTTAGGTACGGGTGCTTGGTAACGGGCTGCACTGCACCTACAAGATCACAGCATTGGCAGCATCCTTCTCACAGAGCATCCATGCTATCCCTCTTCTTCTGTCAGCTCTGCATGGTCAAGCATTCATCTTAGCTTAAGACTGCAGATATTATTGGCAGAACTCTGTGGCTGGCTCGAGTGAGCCTTTGGGCAGCCTCCCATCCAAGCACATTTTATCTTGCTGCAAATACAAAACTTCTCGTGCATCTTTTACCAAAATTGAGGATATACTGATATGATTATGTTAATACAACGTTTTAATAAACAGCAGCATAAAATAATCAGTGTTTAATATCATCTCTGGCATGTGAAATACAAAAATGCACATATCTTCGTTATAAAATAGCCTTTGTTATTACATTTTCATGCTTGCCTAATTGAAATGCCCGTAATTAATAAATCAATCGTCAAGTAATACAGTGATTAAACGCATGCAGTGAAAACAAAGAAAAATATTTGCATAAGGTAGTGGCTGAATATCACCATAATATATTTCAAGAACATCTACATCAGGGTAAAAATAAAAAGAAACAGACCAAGATATAAAATGCAGAGATGTATTTTCACTTCTGCTGTACAAAACATCATCACACTTTTGTGCAAAAAGATAAAAATAAAGTCATATTATACAACACTGTCAACTGAGCAAAGATTGTTTCCATTGTGTACAATAAAAAATACGATTCAGTACAAAAGAGAGACTGCGAAAAGTCGTTAAGGTACACAGCACTTCTGTAACTCATTAAAGTGGTTTCAAATGAATATTGTAGATTGCTCATACCTGAATACATTTTAGTAATTAATGCATGTCATGTTTCTAGGATGAAAATTAATTCACATTATTAAAATTGACCGTAAATTGCTATCAACGGATCTGCTGCCTGATGGAATGCGAGTTTCCCTTCTTTCAGGGTTACTGGAGTCATAGTCACTGAAATTACGTATTGATCTGAAACAATAAATATTACTGGGAAAAAACTGTCATATATAAAACTGTTGTTTGGAGCCTTTCCATTAAACAGTTGCATAGCAACAAAAGGATACACAATTTCCACTTTATCTACCTATAAAAATTACGAAATGTTGTCTTTCAAGAAGTTGATTCAGGTTCTGAAATTAAAGCACTTTAATTTCATTTCCTTTAAGGCAATTTCTTACAACTCCAGCCATCTTCAGCAGCCAATAGCAGATGGTTTTCTCAAGCTGATAACTCAAGCTATTGTGGCGTGTAAAACGCCCTTTTTGGCCTGAATCTGGACTCAGACTCCCAACGTAACACAAGACCAAAATCCTACCTGAAGGAATTTATCCAGCTCTCAGTTCGCATACTTGAAACATAATCCTCGACTGCAAATATTTTAACTAGCTATTGGAACTGAAATTGCACACCCAGTAGATCGCCGAATATTTGCATCTCCTAAAAAAAGAGACAAATATTAAAATACGTTTTCAGCATTAAAAAATTCCTGTGATTTAAACCACATCAGAGGCTTAACAAGCTGTGAAAAAGCGTATGATAAAATGTTCTTGCTTCAAAAAAATTCCCCCTTTCCCCTCTTGGAGCTGTCGGTGGCACTTGGAGAAACAATGCGTCCATTCACAAAGCTGAGTATTCATACCACAAGGATCTTTGTCTGGTTGCTCTGCCCATCCTGTCAAGCAGTTAAACTTCACAGAAGATACTTGCTGCGATGTCTGTTAAACAACCAGAAGAATCTTTAATAAAATATTTGAATATAAATCTTTTCTACTACTTTCTAGTTTGTATCGTAAATAGTTATATTTACAAAGGCCTCCCTTATTTACAATTCAGCTGAAATCATAGATTCATTAGGTCCGTGGATGCTCGAGTCTCCTAGTAGGGAAGACTGCTTCGAGTCAATTTTGTACGGTTTTTGAGTTTTGTTTCCAAAAACGGTTATACCGATTCCGCCCGGGTGACTGGGGATCGACATATGGGACAGCAAAGGGATGTTTGCCTCCTGGTTGGATCCTGACGATGGCAAACTTGTGACGTGACCCGTGCTAGTGGATCCGCTGGCACTGCTGGGAGATCGGCTCTTTGGAGGAGGACAGTGCTGGATGACCCTGGGCGGGCCCTGCGGCTGGAAGTGGGCGGCTGGGAAAGCGGCATAGCCTGCGGGAATCGGGTACCCGTTGATCGGGATGTACCGCTGGTTTTGAGGTAAGGGCGGCCCTATGAACCCGGCGATTTGGCCTTGCGCTATGCCTTGTGCTGGAAACATGTAGTTAGGGTACCTGGGATTACTCAGGTTACTGACGGGGCTTGCGCTGAGGGAAGTTGTCTGAGTGGTGGCGTTCCCACCTGAGGGGGTGGTAGAACTAGTGTGGCTTGACAGGCCCTCCCAGGAGCGCAGCCTGGCGTGGATTTCTTTGAATCGCGGCCTCCGAGAGGGCAGGTCGTGCCAGCACTCCGTCATCAGGCTGTACATTCGAGGAGGGCAGTCTTCAGAGCACGGCAGCAGCTGTCGTTTCCTGATCATCTCTATGACTTCTTGATTGCTAAATCCATAATACGGTTGAAGTCCAAAGCTGAATATCTCCCATAAAACAACTCCGAATGACCAAATATCTGAATCAGAAGAGAACTTGCCGTACATTATCGCCTCCGGTGGCATCCAGCGAATCGGCAAAAGAGATTTGTTTTGAACTCTGTAATAATCTGCTGAGTAGATTTCTCTCGAGAGTCCAAGGTCTGATATTTTCACGTGAAGCTGTTCTCCAATTAAAATGTTACGAGTCGCAAGATCTTTATGGACAAAGAAATGGCTTGATAAGTATTCCATCCCTGCTGCAATCTGGACTGCAATATGCAGGAAGTCCCCGTGGTCCAGGCTGGATTTTACAGTTCCATCCTCATCGCTGCTACACCCAACATCTGAGTGCGGTGATCTCATGATGAGGAACTCGTGCAGGTCTCCTTGGTTCATGTACTCAAAGAGCATGCAGACAGGCTGCTCCTGGGTCACCACACCTAAGAGACAAACGATGTTAGGGTGGTGGAGCTCGGCCATAAGAGATGCTTCTTGCTGGAACTCTGCCCACTGCTGGGGGTTGTTAAAGTCTTTCAGTGTCTTGATTGCAATGAGCTGAGCATGGTCCATGCCTGGAAGGTAGAGGTGTCCCTTGTAGATTTTGCCGAAAGCACATTCACCCAGTTCTTCCATGAAACGAACAGCAGAGAGAGGCAACTCCTTAGCCTTGCTCTGGGAAAGAAATGACAGCAAGAAGGTCTTTTCACACAGGAACTCTGAAAACCATGCAAACCAACAGTAGAGCTCCTTCCTGGGGCTGCACAGCCCTGCAAGATGCAAGTGAAAGCACAGCAGCGGCCCCGGCCCAGATCCATCCTGAGGGATGCCGGCATCCCAGCATCAGCACAGCTCAGGGCTGGAAGCTGCTTTCTCTTATTCTGAACCCTGTTCCAAACCTAAATTTCCTATTACTTTTTACCCTCTGCACAAGATCAGATAAAAGTAGTAAGTATGAAATATAAATATGTGCAGGAACCATCAGCATTTCAGCAGAGGCATTTATATACTTGGGTTTGGGCATTTATATACTTCCAATTGAATCTGACTGATCTGAGGAATTGAGGCAATTCACATACTTCAAGCTAAGTGCACGCTGAAGTGCTTTCTGGGCCAGCGCCTACGGTTTTAGCAGAAACCTTTTTTTTTTAAAGTTCTGTTCTTGTAGCCAATTCTTCCTTGACTTTGCTATTAACCCTTCCACGTACAGGAGAGAATATTTCTGTTCACCCTTGATTGAGTGATCAATCCTAAAGCGTGTGGGACAGTCAGCTGGAAAAAGGAGATATTGGGAAAAGGAGAAAGGGAAACTCTTTGAAACTCTTGTTGTTTGCTCTTAGGCCATAAGGAAGTTGCATGATATTCAAGTATCAACTTCCACACGTGCTGTTAACCTACATGCAAACACAGCCATTTTGGGCCCTCTGTATCGCTACAGGTAGTAATTTAAGACTAATGAGTTTGGGATCTACTTTTTGCAGAAGAGCGTAAACATGAGCGTTGCATTCCTGAAACATTATCGCTGCAGCTTTACAGTAGCAACAGAGCAAAATAACTCACGTTTTAAAAAATCATTTAGACGTGGCATCTCAGAAGGAACGAATTCTAATTGCACTGACCACTTTCAGTTTTTAGACAAATACTGCATAAATAATCATCACCATCATCATCATCGAGCCATTTAAGCGGGCAGCCAGTAGACTGTACGGTGATGGCAGGAAATTAGCTATATTGTTGAGGAACAGATGGTTTATATTATACAAATCCTTTAGGCTAAAACTTGTTTAGGTCTGGCATATTGTAAATTATATTTTAGTAATGAAAGTGAAATGACCTCTGTCTGACCTCGGGCAGGGTTTGTCTGTTTGAACCAACATAGTGGAAAACTATGAAAGAAAATGAAGTCATAAAGTTTTGGCAGGAAGGGCTCATTTCAAGTTAAGCGGTTATAAATCTGCTTAGTTTTTGTTTGACAAGTATTTGTCATACAGCGGTGTACAAAATGTAAAGAAGTGTAAAATACATATGAGGCAGCACGCCAAAGTAAACTGAGTACAAAGGCAGAGCAGTGGGAGCGAAGCCCCCCGCCCCTATCTCTGCATCGGCCCCTTCCATTAGGTGAATGACAGGATGAGCTCCGTTTATTGTATTTTTGGAAGGCAATTAAAATCCTTTAAAACTGAAGCGGGCTGAAATGCTAACATTTTTATTTGTCCGAGCAAACACGCATCCACCTCGCCTGGAGCTTCGAGCCTAGGAGTGGTTTTACCCCCAAGCTGACATTAATGCTGGATACGGTATTTAAAAATACGATTCCACTTCCTTTCTTTTAAAATCTCGTTTGAAAGGCAATCAAAACATCTGAAACAGGCAGAGCTCAGTTTCCTAGTGGGAAAACACGGAATGAGCTTTCTGCACCATATGACTTGAAACGTAACAAGAAGACAGTGTGCTCTACATTTGCAAAATACTTCTGGGTAAGTTGCTTTCCTATGCAGCAGGCACGAGGCATCGGTGTGTCAGCAGCCCGGGAGGAAAATGGAGCCTTGTTCAAATGAAGCTGATGTTCCCATCGTTTCCAGTTTGGTGAGGATTTTAGCAAAATATCTTTGAGTGGGGACCAAGAAGCAAATCCAAATTTATCAAAATACTCCACAGAGGTTGGATGCAAGGTGTAGCTGTGACACCTACCAAGTAAAATGTTTTTTTACTATTACCCACACTTGGTTTTTAAGCAGGTGTTTTGTTATTAAGCAAGTATTAAGCATTTTCAGCTGCTCTAAGCTGTACGTGGAAGTTGAAATTAAGAACTGAAAAGGAAAAAGAAAGACAAATTTGCTGTGCAGGCCAAACTCTGCCTGTCCACCCCTGCAGTCCCAGGATCTGTAACTATTTAAAACAAGGAGCCTCATGTGAGCACTATGCTGTGCAACACCATGAACTTATACAGAGACCTTGCAGTGATCTCTGCAGTGTGGAAAGAGTAATTGCAACAGCAATGTTTGAACAAATGCAGCAAAATCTGAAGAAGCAACATTTAGGGTTCACACTGCTAACGCTTCAGTAAGAATCAGAATTTGGGTTAATTTCACTATGTCATCTTTCTGCAAAAATAACAGCTTGTGCGAAGGCACGTCTGAGAGGTTCACACATCACATTCTACAGTTTCTAATTATTTGTAGATGTTGGTCTTCCCCGTGAAATGCTTCACCTCCCTTAAGCTGTTGTTGAAGAGAACTGGCACGGTGATAAAAAAGAAGACAATGAAATAATCTTTCCAGGGCGCTGTTCTGCCTGTAGGTGGCAGAAGGCATTTACAGCCCCGGGTGGGTGATCCAAGCAGGTCTGCACACTGGCTGCCCCTGCTGATAAACAAGGAGCTCAAGGTTAATCGTGCTTAAATCTTAAATGATTTTAAAAGCAAGCGCTTCATGAACCTGAGACTACAGTGAAGCAAAACAACTCTGGTAACAAGAGCAGCTCCACACCAGCTGTGCTGGCCAGAGCTGGAGTCAGATCCTTGGGCTCCGTTTCAGTAATTTCTCTTTTAACTGAGAGAATGGGTAAGCCTGAAAAAACAAGGAGCAAATCTTTCCGAAGTGATTTCAGCTGACTGAAGGTGACATGTGTCTACAGCAGACCCAGGAAAAAACTCTCTTGAGAAAATGCTGAATCATATATTTATCTGCAGTGACTTCAGAAAGGCCTCCAAAGAAGTAATCGAGAGCTACTTCAGGAATGGGCTGCTTCAAAAAGCTCCAGCTTCTATTTCTGCATACAGACATACAGGAATTACTGCCACAGGTCCGCTCTCGCTATGCTGCTGCTGACAAGAAAAGTGCTCACCCAAAGTAAAGGCACCAGCAGAAACCACAAGTTGGAAATCAGTTTAACTTTTCAGCGCTGAATTGATCAAAGCATTGCACTCCCTGCCCTTACAGGCAGCAAAAAGTCAAAGCAGGAACGAGCTGCGGGCTCACCTTTGGTTTATAGGCGTTGAGCATCGACATCTCCACATTCTGCCCTCTGACGTGCTTTGGCTGTCTCTGAACTGGAGGGGAGGACGACTTCTGGTTGTTGCGACAGATGCAGATGAAGAAGAAGAGCAATGCTATGGCCAGGGGAATAGTAACACTTGGCACCAGGATATACAAGATTTCCATTTTATTCTTTTCTTTGGCATCCTTATAATCTAGTTTGGAGAAACACAAACAAACAAACAAACAAGCCATGAATGAAGTCTCCACGCAGCTGAACATGTCTCTGGGTCAATTAGGAGTGTTCAGGAGAATAAACTATTGCAATCCACCTTCTCTAATAGTAACAGAGCAATTCGTTTTGTTGACTAACAATTCCCCAGAAGTACAGAGCAGCAGGGACACCAACAAGCTAGGAACCATTTCACTGCAGCATGTTGGTTCAAACCTCCTCACATCACAGGATAGCTGACTGCTGTCACGTGGCTCCTGCTCGGGGTGAAATGAAGCAATGGCTCAGTACAGCCCTACAGACAAGTTTATTTCTAAAACAGCAAACGGAAGAAAGACTTCAGCAGGTTTGTGGGCAGCTGTTAAAAAGGGCAGTTTCATCTCTCATCCATTTCCAGCCTCCCGTTCTCAGCGTTTCACTACATCTGTCTGCTAAGCCTCATGCTTGAATTGCTCCATGTTTCCCATATCCAAGTTGACAAACTTTTATGAAACGTATCTATTGCAGCTTGTGAGACAACTGAAAGATACAGTTGAAGAAAGGAGAAGAAAGCAGCAGCATGAAGCAGATGGAGACCTGGGCACTAGTTCATCACCTGAGCTACTTCAGTCAAAGGAGATTATTTTTCTTATTAAGTAGCAGCCCCTGCCACGAAGCCTCATTAGGTTAATAGGTTTCTTGAGAGCCACCCCAATTAAATTCATTTCCCATTTAGGCATGTCCTGGTGAGACAGAATGCACAATACTTATTAAAATTCCCCTGAAATGGCTCTTTCAGCTCGTGCAAAAACATCAGAATGCAAGTTCCACTCGGTATTTGGGTTTTAATATGCTGATTAGCATTGAACAATTAAATTACTACTCACCTGATACAGCTCTATTTGTCTGTACTCAAAATAATAATGCCATACAACCCAGCTGTACAGCAAGTACCATTTAAGGCAATGGTGAGAGGTAATTAAAACCCTTGTTAGGCTGGCTGGCTCAAAGAATTCCTATCTCATTTATTATCTAGTAAAATGTTCAAACCAGAGACTCCTGCAAGACAGCCAAAAGCATTCTGCTTTCAGCTAGTACACATCAAAAGACCAAAAAAAGTCCTGGGATCTCAAAGCCCATCTAGAGGGGGCCTTGCAAGCAGCTCCCCACCAGCAACTCCTAATTACCCAATTATCCAGATGTGCAATGGAAGGCACAGGGCTGTGCCAGGTTCCCCCAGCTGGACCAACCCAGGCACCTGCAGCTCTTGGAGCAGACAGCCCAGGGCTCAGCAGGCCTGTGGAGCATCCTGACTGCTGCCTGGGTCCAGGTTATCTAACTTGAACTACTCTTGTGCAGTCCATCACTGTGCCTAATGAGCAAGAAAAACAGCAGAACTGAAATAGCATGAAAAGAGATAAAGGACTGAAAAGTGCATATGAATTTTAGAGAGGGTTTGTGATGCATATGATGATCCCAAACTGTCTGCCTGTCCCCAGTCTATTCTTTCACTAAAGACATAATTTAGATCCCATTCTGGCATCAATTCCCATCTTTCCATTAATTGAAAAAGACTTTGGCACATGTTGTACTGCAGGAATGTTCACAACCATAACCAGAAATAATTTCATTTGGTTCTGGCTATTGAACAGTAACATTAAAAGGTATCTCCTTTCCAAGGGAAAAGGTAATGTCACTGTCACAACTTGGAAGCAACACAAAATTGTGTGTGAAACTTTCTACTGTGAATTTCCAGAGCATTTCTGGCATGACCATGCAAATAGCTGTTATTTTTCTTGGCATGCTATAGGTACTGTTATTTTTTAATGCAGGTTAAACCATTAGGAACCATTTGATTAGGTCTGCTATCCACTTCCTTTTAGAAGTCTTAGAAAAGGAGAATAAAATGTGATCTGAATCTAAGCTTTTTTATTCCTTTTTGCAAGTCCAAAACTCAGCCAGGGCAGTTTGGTAAACACAAACCAAAAAGCCATTTTGTTTGGACTGAGGAGTCCAATGGCAACCTGGGAATCCCGGGATGCTCGGGCTGAGCTACCAACTCCAGGGGAGATATTCCTTACTAAAATATGTTCATGCCACTACTTGGCAGGGTCAGGTGGGGCTGAGGGAAAGGCCGAACCCCATACGGCGCTGGGCACAGCACCACCCCCAGGGCAGTGGGTCGGCCCGAGCTGCCGGAGCTCAGGGAGCGCTGGGACGCGGCTCTGCACAGAGCTGGGCTTGGTGCTGCTGTGCGGGGCTTGGGCTCGGCGCTCCGTGTGGGTCCCCTCCAACTGCAGATATTCCGTGATAATACATAGGAAGTGCCTATGGTAAAAAAGCAATTACCACATGCCGGGACGTCGCAGATCTCGGACTTGAAATTCTCATCCAAGGTGAAGCACCACGGGGCGTCCTTCTGGTTGCCGGGGTTGCGGCAGTAGGAGTGCCCCCCGTTGAGCTCCGGGTACCTGATGGCAGTGAAGGTGTGCGTGTGCGGGTACTGCGAGTTCCACGGCTGGCACTGCCGCCCCGACCTGGTCACACTCACCGTGCCCCGGTAGTCCACCCCTGTGCTGTTGTAGCATTTGTGATCTGAAAGAGAAGATAACAGAAGGCAAGGATTTGCACGCTTCTTCTGGCCCGAGGCCGGTGAAGCCAGCTCAGGAGCACGGGCTTCCAATTTGCTGCGGCCGCAATGCGGGGCCTGCTTTGCATTCACATTCCTGGGCGGATTTGAAGCTTATGCTTCTCTAATGAAAACAGCTTATGCCAAGCGTTTTTAATATAAGATACACAAAAGAAGTAAAAACTACAGTAGGAACCTGAATTGCAGCCATTATTTTCGTATGAAGGTGGAGAGTTTGTGGAAGCCATGTGTTATACTTGGTTATTCAGATGTATAAAGGTTGGGAGCAGGCTGCAGACCTGCCTGACTGAAGGCTGAGTTCAGTGGCTAAAGTAGGTAGGGACAGCCTTGCATTGGACGCTAGAGCTGCAGGTAAGCACCCTGGAGTTGCCCAGGGAGACTGAAGCTGCCAACATTGAACATCCTGTCCATGGCAGGGGAGCTGGACTTGATGACCTTTACGAGTCTCTTCCAACTCAAACAGTTCTCTAATTCTCTAATTCCCCAGTATTCAAATGCTTATGCCGCCATTGTTTCCCTCTACTTATTAATTACAAGAGGTAAGAACCAAATTAATGGATTTTGATGTAAGCACGGGCGCAGCTAAAGGAATCACTGAAAAAATATTTCTGCATTTAGCCCACTGGTGTGGGCAGAATTGCCCTAAGTGCTAAAGCACAGTGCCTGTGCACTTTCACAGCTCAGCACTAGCGCCAGCGCTGAGGCACAAGCAGCTTCGCCTCCCTCACCACTACATTTTCTGCATGGACATACAACCACTTTTCACTTACTTTTATTTATGGGGTCTGCCATGGGAATCCCAATCCGAATACAATTGACGGCTTCCGGGCTGTCTGGCTGGGGAAGATCTTCACAGTTGGGCAGCTTTAATCTCATCAGAATCATGGGGTTGGATCTAGCAAAGATGTACTCGGTCTGACACAGGACGTTTTCCAGAATTTCACACTCGTCGCGGCACAGGTCCCGGGGCTTGGGAGCTGGGGAAGTCTCATCGCAGTAGGGGAAGGCGTAGTGGCAGAGTGAAGGAATAGCAAACTGGGAGCATTTATCCGACAAATGGCTGGAAGTGCCAATCATGGTGAAGGCAGCTGCAAAATATACAAGGGGATTTGACCTAACCTGGTGGGAATTTCACTCCCGTGCTTTCGCCTTCCCAGCGCAGCCCTCCCTTCCCACTGTGGCTATTACTTTCAGAGATCCAGGTGACGAACAGACCTTCCAGAAATACAGAGCACTAATTGCATTAAAAGTTATTAACGATGCTGATTTCGCTGACAGAGAAAACACATCTGGTTTTCAACGCCGGCCTAATGTTAAGCACGTTACCAAAACCCAAAATCTAATTATACATTATTTCCCCAAGTAATTTATAATGGCTTGCAAAGTCACTGGATATTTGGATACCTTTGGCCCAGCAAGTGAAAATCAAAGCCCTTGCAGGCTGCACAATGACAAAACTCCCCAGAGGCATTCAAGGCCAGGCTGGATGGGGCTGTGAGCAACCTGGCCTACAGGGAGGTGCCCCTGTTTACAGCAGGGGGTTGGAATTAGATGATCTTAAAGGTCCCTTTCAACCCAAACCATTCTATGATTCCACAAAAACTGGTATCCGTGCTGAGGAGCTCAGAGCAATTGAGGATCAGCAGCTAACAAAAAAAGAAGCATTGCACTTTATAAAGCATTAGCAGCTTTTTGGAAGAAGTTTCCCGGGAAACAGACAAGTGCATTTTTTACCCACCTGTGATCTGATTTTCTATTTCACCTTGCATATGCAAAGACTCCATATAAATGGTCCGATTTCCAATAAACCGTGCACAAGCGATCCCTCGGTAGGGCTGGCAAAAACCATCCTCTTCGTACTCATCCCTGAAATCAAGCAGAAACACAAAAGGGTGAAATGTTTCACACGCGATTCTGCAACAAAACGTCTCCCCGGGGTGCTGGCGCTCGGATTCTCCGCGCCCGACGTGAGGGGCTCGCAGCGTTTGTCCTGCAGCCCAGCGATTCGTTCTGGGGATGCTGGCGCAGCGCAGAGCCTGCACGCCATCCTCGCCTCCATTAAGAGCCTGTGATAAGGGATTATATGGTCTTTAGGTGGTGCAGAGGGCACGGCGCAGGCTTTGCATCCCCGCAGCGCCGCAGGTAGTTTTCACGAGCTCACAAATGATTCTGAAGTGAATATAAGGAGCACGCAACATCCTGAGTGCTCAGCTGCGTGGTGAAAATGGGTATCGCTGAACCAAACCTGTCTTTTCACAGTGATGAGCACAGCAGGAAGAGTTACACTGGCAGAGACAGATTTAGAAGCGTATATGAAAATCACACTCCTCCCAGCCCCCAAATAGGAAATGTTTCCTCAATCCTCCACCGGTGTGGCAACAATTATTGCTAAAACAGAACCGCAGCTAAACCAGGAGTTAAGAAGCCAGATTTCTTTCATTAGGTGCTTTGTTTTATACACTATAGGAGACATTCAATGCATAAATCCAGATGTGAAATTATTTGCCAATATTCTTCAAACAAAGCAACGCAAGGAAATGACTAAGCCTCTGAAGACCAGAGCAGGCACTGCTCACTTTGAGCAGGTAAGGCACAGCCCGCTGCTGGCACACAGCTTTATGGCGGTTTCCACGAGGGGTTTGCAGGCAAGAATCTGCCCTGTCACTTTCTCACTTTGAGAACCCAGTTGGTGACATTTGGGACCCACCTCCCGAACAGACACCTCGGCTCTGCTGAGGTCACGGTGCAGGGAGAAGCTTAATGAATCATTAATATTTTCTGCTATTCGTGCCAATGCCCACATAAGACAGCTCCTATACGGCTCTCAAGCGAGGAAAAGTGATGCTGGAATTCCCCCAGGTATGATCATAGCTGGCTTAGGCAACAGGTTACTTACTTTCTGTATTTCTTTCCCCTAAATTCATCCCCCCCCCCCAGACACTGAAAGAGTGACAGCACAATCAGACTACGCTGCTAATAGGGGAAAATCACATCTTTTTTAATCAACTCTGCTATTAGGTTTGACAAAAGCCACTTTCATCCCCTCCGGAGACCTTGGCTGTGAGAGCTTGGAAATGCAAATGGCACATCCTGCTTTGAAGTCACCCTGCATTGTGTGCGGGGCTTAGTCCAGCCTGGCTCCCCTCGCCCTGTCACTAATGGGATTAGAGGGCAGAAGTGCTGGGATCACCCCTTAGCACACCCCACACACCTCCCGGCTCTCTGTAGCTCCTGGACCGTGGGCCAGGGGCTCCCACTGGGAGCACTGGGAGTGGGGATGGAGGAGAGGTTTGGATGGGAGGTGGGAACCTTCCACAGCCAACTGCCATGTGCTGAGAGACGGGTGGAAAGGGGCCCAGGTGTCACTGGATGGTGGTCCCAAGATGTTCTCAAAGATAGTGGAAATTGGAGAGTGAAGGCATCTTCTCTGAACTGCCAATCGATCTCTATTAACGAGAGCAGTGGCAGGCTGAGATGTGCTGGGTAGAGCACAGCCAATGCCAACAGGCTGGCCAGCACTGGTGATGCAGACACCTGAGCACATCACTGTGTTTCTGCTCAGTTGGGTATGGCCCAAATCCTCTGCTGGTTCCTGAAAGGCCAACAGCTGAAATGCACTGAAAAGCACAGCAGTTACTCCAGGCTCTGGAAGCCAGTGCTCCATCTTCTAATCAACTAATCCCCAAACAGAATAGAACTCATTACTTATTAACAATTCCAATTATTTTTTAAATTGTATTATAATTTTATAGGAGATTTAACTCAAGGACTGCACCTAACAACAGCTGCTCTTATAGCAGCACAATTTAAACACTCAATTGGAGAAGACAGAATCAGGAGGAATGCAGTTAACATCAGCAAAGCAAATTCCCCTCACCCTGAGGTTCGCCTCTGAACTAAAGAAGATTGAAGCGCAATGGCTGCAGTGGAACGGCTCACTGGTGAGCAGGGCCACCCGCTTACCTTGATGGAAATGCCCCGAGGAACAGGATTTGGGAGATTATCTCAGGAGGTGAAGATCAGAGGAAAGAGGAGAGCTGAGATCCCAAAGCCTCTGCATGCCACAGAGGGATTTGCAGAGGGAGATGGAAAATGAGTGGCTCAGATGGAGGCACTACCTTGAATTGTCTTGGAAAACGGCTCCATGATGGGGCAGAAGGATAAATCAAATGGAGTGGGAGCAGCAGAGTGGGACACAGCTCTTGCCTGGCCTTAGCACATCTGCACCCCCTGCTGCCAGCTGGCAGCTGCCTCTGGCTGGCTTTGAATGCACAGTGGGTGGAGGCCGAGGCTGCCGATTCCTCCTATGTAACCCATGCGATGCACACCTCCGTGCTTCATGGTCCTGATATGACCCCACCCACAGCAACATGGTGAGTGGCTCAACAGGACATAAGATAGGAGCCACTCTGCAATTAACATGGTAAAAATCAACAGACAAGCTTAAGTCCTAATGAGAGAGAAGACAATCCATGCCTGTGGGCACTGCTGACGGGACAGACACGTGAGCACACTGCCCCACCTCCTGCACACCCCACACCTCACCACGACTACACAGAAGAAGGAAAGCACTGGATTTCAATGCCTGACAGAAGATAGAGCACTTAACTGTTTTAATGTTATTTCTTTTCACATTTGGTTTCCACTCTGTTTGCTAGACCAACCCTGATGTTTACCTTGGAGCTTGCCCATCGCTGTCAGATCCTGCTGCAGCTCCCCATGCTCCAGCACTTCTAGCTCCGTGAGATAACAGTGCCACGGATTGAGCTTACACTGTACTCAGGTGTCCTCAAATATCTGATTGCACAGAATCAAAATCACAGCACAAAACAAAATTGCCAACAACTGAGAAAGAACTCACTGTGGTTTATAGGTTCACACCAACAGCAGGCCCGGGAACTCAGTTTAGTGAAGTTTTGTTACCAGACTTTACTATGAACGATTGAATAAATGCATAGAAAAGCTGGACCTTCCGAGATCATGTTGTATTTATTTTTATTACATCCAATTTATTGAAGTTAAATATTCCAAAGATGGTGTAATTGTGCTCCACGCCCCATGGATTTCTCTCTTTTTTTTCCCCCCAGCTTTGAGTAGGACTTGCATGACTATTTGATGAGAAAGACTCACAGAACCATTTTTATATGTTTTTGGGCAAACGAGAGATGGAGGACAAGGCAAGCCCAGGTCCCAAATGCTTTGAATGTGCAAAGAGAAGAGATAGGAGCCTCACTCTCCCTTCTGACACTCTTTACAGCATTGGCACACTGCTATATGCACTACCACAGTGAGGATTTACAAAAAGCAGCAAGGAAAAGACACTGTAATGTGCAGTGATAGTGGAAGATGGTGATGTAAAGCCAGCAGGAGATTAAGGCGTGTGTGCAAAACCTGTTTTAGGACCACTAATAGGTATGAGGAGCGACAGCAAATAAATGCAGCATTATCTCTGAGATCTACCCAGTGGAGAAGGAATAGCACTGGTTCTGTGTGAAGGTTGTCCAGACAATTTCTCATTTACAAAGTGAAAGGCATTTTGTCTTGCTTAATTTTTTATTTTTCTAGCACAGCACTCAACTACTCACGGCTGTTTATCTAAATAATTTATATCCAGCAGCAGAGCAGTGATGGGAAAACGCAGCCAACACTGCCCAGCTCAGACAACTGAGTGCTTTATGCCCTTCTCTTCCAAGGGAACACTGCTCGGTCCCACCACCCCTGCAGACCCCTCAGCAGCTGCCCCACGAGGGCCCTGCTTGCTGCTGAAACTTGCACTGACACATCTCACATCTGCAACCCGCAGCCTGGCCGATGACGGTGCTGCTTTGGAGGAGCTGAGTTTGTAACAAACACTGATGGGCAACAGCGTGGAGGGAAGAAATTTGCTCCATAAAATTTGGCAATTAATTAAAAGGTGTATCAATAAATTTTTATTACTACATGTATCAAATACACCCTCTGTGCATGCTTAAATGCTGTATAAATTATTTTACATTGTCAAATAAATTGTGTTCTGTTCCATACTCGTGTTCCAGCTTTGCTCAGAATAAAAGGTACAGAGTTTCTACTTGGCAGATATCCCTTAAAGCAAACAGATGAATAATATTCTGTCAGACTTTCCAAAGAGCAAAAACCCATTGCTTGTGCCTTTGAAAATGGGAACGTATTGGCTCTGTTTCATAACAGTACTTCAGAAATGGGAAGGCTGCATTTTACTTTGTAAAAAGAAGAGAACTGCCCAGACTTGCACGTCACCATGTAATTTAAGAAAAAGTTCTGTGTAATATAAGCTATTGGCGTTTTGACACCCCTCTAAAGTCACAGGGCAGCTAGGGTTTAACTAGAAAAGCAAGGGCGTAAAATACAAAATGAATAATGCTGGGTTTTGTCATCGTTACATTTGCGGAGTCCCACAGCACCACAGAGACACCTCTTTCCCAGCCATGACCAAAAAATAATTCAACGAGCAAGTATGATCTGCCTGAGCAGTGCCTTCATTTACTTGTTACTTCTCTTCCCCACTGACGGCCGGTTCCGTGCGATGCCTCCAACCAGGACACGGATCCAGCATCAGCAATGGATGTGCCTTTGGGCTTCTGCTCTGCAGGGCTCAGCGCAGGGAGGGCAGCCAGTGGCCCAGGCCAGCTCTGCGGCCACATGACGGCCATTCCCTGCTAAAATTGGGACAAACAGAGCTCCCTGGTCACCCCAAGTCTCCCAGTCACATGGACACGTCGCTTGGGGCTGCCAAACATTGCGCTCACCCCCCTGCTCACTTCTGGTCAGGGATTTGGGTGCTGGAAGGCAGCTGGAACTATAAATGGTTCTGCTAACCAAAGGCGGGCAGCAGTGCGGAACCCACAGTT